TTTCTCACTGGCGATCCGCTCAGCACCTTCCCGGTTAAACCCTTTTATTAATAAAGTGTAATCGCGCAGTGAACCTCTAAATGACCGCTTTCGATCAAGAGCGCGGTGCAATTGGGCACACTCACACGAGCAGCTGACATTCACACCGGTTGCGCAAGACAGTCATCCTATTACATGAGCATGACCTTCCAGGTGCATTTGGACAGGCTCAGTGTTTATACTGCGCTTTTTCGTTTCTATTCTGAATTCAGAAGAAGTTCTTGGCATAAAACTGAGAGAATACTGTGATAATAAAAGTGAGGGTGTCATTTTCAGAATCAAATTCGCGCATTTCTCTACAACTCCATGAAAATTCACGAGAGAGTTTGAAATGCAGACAGATCAGAAGACGGCTTGGTGAATAAGGGCTGCTGCGACATTTCCCTGACTAGTTAACTTGACATACTGTAGCAGCTGCACGTTGATTCAAGTAGTTTATAGTATCAGTGTCCCACTTATGGTGTCACTGCCACCCACCTACGCCAATTGCGCCACCGTTTGTGCCCCATCGCCCTAGCGGGACGTGCCAACCTGCACCCACGTGTCGGAAGCTCTAGGTAGTTACAAGTGTGACAGCCAGCTCACCTTAGCGCTGGCATACTGACATAGACTCGATCACAGTGCGGGCACTGCTTCGCGTGTTCACTGTCCAACGGTCGATGAGTCTGGAAAACGGTAGATGAGAGGAAAAATCTCACCAGAGATCTTAGTTATGTTACAGTCATAAAACTACTTTATCAGTTCTCCTTGTTCAGCAATTTACTTCGTGAAAAAGAGAGAGGTGTCGGCCCTTTCATACGTTGTTTTTTTACTGCACTTACGGACTACAGAGTTATTTAATTTACCTGTTTATGTCTACTGAGATTACTGGTAGTGGCGTAGGACTTTCCGCATTGATCACAGACACACCGCGATGAAGGAAATCTGAAACAGCAATGCTATCCGAAGGATTTGCAGTGACAGATCAAAACTCTCCTAACTATAAGCTGTCGAAAATTCCCTTTTAAACATGTTTTTAGTAACCTATAACTGAGTTGCCTTGGGAATTATTTTCATTCTTCTCAAAAAATCGTTGGTACACTCATTAATTGCGCCTGGGAATGCCCAAATATTACGCTCTAGCCTACATACACCTATACCCGCCTGTAACAGCCTCTACCCTCTTCTATCCACTAGTGTGCAGATCTCTGGACAAAGAATAGAACATTTGACGCCATCCCTTGGGCCATTGGGATTTAGGCCATCCCTTCTCCTGAGTCACCCGTATTCGATTTATTTGTTTATGTTTTTTATTTGAGTGTGGTTGGGCCCACAGGAATTTAACCTGTTCTCATTCCCAGGTGAGTCTGTATACTATTGAGCCCACCCCTAAGAATGGAAGCTTCGTTGCCCCGAGCTTAAAGGATCAGAGTTCTGTGTCTCGAACTATGCCTGGATCACTTCCTCTCCATATAGCTCTTGAATGAGGTTCCACAAAAGGTATTCAGGTGCTCACCAAGGCAGTATCGTCATACTATTACAAAAAGAAGTTTTTAGAGCATGGCTGTTTGAAAACCTGGTCTCGTGGTGAAACCCAGTGACGTGTTTGACTCTAGATCCTAGTTGGAACTCAGACTTGCTCTTTTCATTTGTGAGCAATTGCGATAAGAGCAATGATGAGGGAGAGCACCTCTGGGTAGCTTCAGGAATGAGAATGTGTTGTTTTAAAGGCTAGGCTTGGCACGGTATGGTTCATTAGCTTAGCCGTAAAATCTAGTAGGGCGCTGTATAGTGGGGAGGCGAATAGAACGGAGTGAAACGATCAAAAAATCCTGGCGGAAAGAAGCCTTTGGTTCTCATGAACTAAAAAATTATATTTCGGACAAAGTTCTGCCACAGGCATTCTGCGAGAGAGAGCGCGGAATGATTCCGCTGGCAATGTGTGTACTCATATATCCCAATGCAAGCACCCGCTCACTTCATACAGCCTTTCGCTTCAATAATAAAATGCTGTAGCAAATGAATGAATACGAGGCGTCAGGGAACGGTCGTCCATTTGTGGGCGAGCGGGCATTTGGGACGTAAAGTTATGGCTTGATAGGGCCCTTATAAGGGCACCTGCTTCGGGTAGGCCGCTTATGCAGCCCTGTGGCAGGGTCCGCGGAACTTCTATCCTGCAGGACTATTGATCCTAGTTGCCTTGGGGGATTTATCACTGCCGTTCAATCAAGTAATCCCAGCACCGGTTCATCCTAAGATGGCAAGCCTGTTCAAACTTTCGGTTTCGCAGACGACGATGAGGATACATAGGAACTTTTGTGGGCGAAATGCCGACTTAGTTGAGGGTTTCTCCAGGCGGAATCGTCCTTTTCCCAATGCCGCTTATATGAGAGCTTAATCTAGAAGCTCAGTGCTATGAGCTCGACCTACTTTCGTTCCTGTTTTGTTCGTCCATCGGATACCTCAAGAGCGTCGAGTGTGTACGCGGTCACGTCAGAGTCCGGCGAATTGGATGTCTGCAAGAGAAAACATTTAGAGCTACAAAGAATTTCATGGAGGCCTTACTTTCTGTCCGAGTGGAATTACAGGCTGCTTAATCATTCTGACTTCATTTCTATAATTTAGTGTCCAACAACTTTGTTGGTCCAGAAATTTCAAAAAGCCCTTCCGGGACATGAAGAAACGCAACAACTTTAGTTAAGAGCAGCTCCAAGATAATTGATTATGTGACTTTATATATGGAACGTATGCAGGGAAAAGCATTGACATATAGAACCTGCCATTTGTCAAAATAGATGCAGAAAGTGAATTTGCTTGTTGCGATTGTATTTTACTTTCATATTTTGATGTGCTCCAAAACGTCACTATTTTAACATTGAGAAAATAAAAAGTAATGTTTCTAGCTATTACATTGAGAAATATGTTTCCAGCTATTTGTTCCTCATAGGGAAGGTAAGATACTCTTCCTTATCGACAAAAGGAATAAAGAGAGAAACTTATGGTCAGAATCGGTCGCGTCCATTTGCTGTGTTAATATTTTTTATTTTAATTGGTTTATATAGGTGGGGTACGAAAATTCATTGAGTTTTATTTAAATTAATGCTTTGATTTATTTTTTGTAACAATATTCTGTTTAATAATTGTAATAATTGTTTGCTGACGTCACCAGAACAAAAGGAAGCTCTCAGGAAGGAAGTTCTCAACGGTCCGTCGGAAGCTCAAAGGAGTGGTAAAGGCGGGGGGGGGCGCGCGGGGGGGAGGAGGGGGGGAGCAAGGTCCTCCACGTGTGTAATCTGTCGTATGTAGTCGTTTAAGAAGAGTCTACCATTGACTGGTAGGTTGAAGTTTTCAGAGGGGTAATAGTTAATGGGATATAGAGTGGCACCCCCCCCTCATCCGTCATATAGGCCTTCTTATCGGAGGTGGAGGAGAAGTGAGGAGACAGGTGAAAGGGGTTGCATCTTTGTAGTGAAGGTGTCCGGCGACCCACCGCACCAGAGCCAGCGCGGAATGGGTGGGAGTCGTTGCTGAACTATAAGTTTCCTTACTGCCATTATGTATCCTGCCCGCAGTTCAAGGCTCGAGGAAACGACCTTCCTGGTTCCACGAGGAAGGGGAACTTCTTCCCGAAAGAAAAACCTAGTACTGAAACCTTTTTACCCCTAACCCAGCTGGTGCGGTTTCACAGTCAGGTTTCTAGTAGTCATGTCAAAAGATTAGAATGATTTCCATTCCTCTTTTAGTACGATGACGGCTGTTTCCTCTTCCAAAGCTATCCCAAGAATTCTGACGTATGGGCAAAGTAGGTGATCTTGGGCGAGTCCTCTCTCACAGGACGTGCCAGTTATCCGTTAACCGCCGAGGTAATTTTACTGCTTCCTTGTTAGCCATTTCAACGTAGATTGGGCTGTACTTGTGAGATTATATCCTTCAAAGCGTTCAGAATTGAATTAATACTGTAAATATTAGGCAAATAAATATAGAATTATTCAGGCATGTTTGATGCCACTGTCCTTCATTCACAGACCAGGGCACTTCTACTACTCGCGTTAGTCTTTTGGGTGAAAATCGCCACGAAGCCTCTATAGAGGAGGTAATCTCTCAGTCCTTTTTTGAACCGTTTCTACACCTACGGTGCTCAGATATATCCCTTTGAAGTAATTCACCGGATTTGGAAGAAAAGCTCTACTATTTATACGCTGCCAGTGAATGGATATTATTAGGTGGTTGTTTCATGCTGCTCATAGAGTGAGTGAGAGCGATTGCTTCCTTTACCTGCTTCTCGTCGCTTTCCGGCCGCAGCAGGTTGTCGATCGAAAACGAACATTGAGAGCGCTGAAAAAGAAGGCTATAACTTGTTGTAAGACAGAGTAAGTAACAAAGGCTTGAATATGATTTTATAGGTACAAATAATCCGTGTTCGAAATGAAAAATTGAAAAAAAGTGCTGAACCAAACGAAAATAGAAAATTCACCATCTTCACATTTTCTCCCGAAAACCCTACGTAGAGAAGGTCTAGTTTTGAAGTCTTTTTACCTGTGAGCCTATTCGTCTCAAAGCATTTTTAACGCGTTTTTTGAATTATGAAACACGGGACTATTCAAATTCTACTGTGCGCTTTGCAGCAGGAAAGTCCAAAAATAGAGACGAAAGGCAGTAGATGAGCAAACCGTGCTATGTTCAGCTCAAGTGTTCGTATGGTTCATGAGATGAACGCCATGAAGGCTGGGATGAGGGCGAACAATGAGAGGGAGTTCCTTAAAAAGGGAGGCGAGGAAAAAATGCATGAAAAATCGTTCCTCGAGTTTCGAGAGAAGAGCGCATCTCAGGATCACAGCTTAGTTTAAGTACAAGAGCTATGTCCACGTTGGTGGCCCAGTAAATCTGAAAAAGAGGGAATTTGACAAAAGTCCAGCTGTCTCTAACAGAAGAACAGATAGCCATCTCTAGCCCTTATCCTGTGAGAAAAAGAATTCCTCAAAAGCGTGTGGGACGCTTCCTGCTCTCACTCCAGTCCTGCTTACTTCGAGGTCCAATTGAGTGTAGGATGGTTCAGCTCCTCAGAAGTAGCATCGAAATGGGTGGAGCGGTGGAATCCCAGAACAACCTCCTTTCCCCTCCCGTACGACCACCTTTCACAACTGGGTGAGGGTGGTGTGATAAACACCGACCAGTTACCACAAGTAGCAGCTCCGCCACCACGACAAAAAAGGAGAAATAGAAAAGGGAGAAATATACCAGTTTGCCGAACACCAACACCACGAAAGCTCTCGAGATTGAGCTACCTACGGTACCAATTTTTTTCGAATACACGAATTCCACTTGTCTTTCCAGGTCAAACTTTTTTGTCAGTGCTCACTCCATAGAACGAAAGCGGAACAAAAAGCCGCTGTGCCATGCTTCTATGTGAGTTTTTAGGTTAGGTGATAGTAGAGGTGAGAAAAACTTGGGAAGGCGGAGACTGAGCATACAAAAATTCGAAGAAAAGCGTGGAATAGAGAAGAAGAACGAGACGCAGAACACAATGAACAATTCCGCAGGTGTTCTTGGAAAGGAATATAACAAAAAGTCCCTTTCTTGCTTAATTGCCTGAAAGCACCAACCTGTTCATCGATGTTTTCATCCTTTCCTTTTTCTGATCGAGGTAGTGAATTAAAGAAATGTTGGAGTTGACTGTTCATCAGCATGTTGAAAAATTGCGCGTTGAAGGGATCTGGCACTTCTGAAGGAACCATTCACCTTTACTCATGTTCACTAGAGAAATTCACCTTACTACTCACCTATAGGCCGTTGAGGAGGAGTGAATGATGGCTGGATCATAGCCGTAAGCATTGGAGAACCGAGCAAATCTTGTAAAGAGAACATTACTACGATGTGCTGTAGCTCTCGTAAGTGCTCACCGGATGCGCAACATGGATGTGGGCGTGGCAGGCGCGATGATTGGTGGAGATGCGCGGGTGGGCGCGGCCAAAAGTCGTCTCTTCCAAAGGAAGCTACCGTCAGCCTGAATTCAACCTTCGGATTTCAAGGACTTCTTTCGAGAAAAATCGAGCAGTGCTCACCGGAAGGATAGTAATGCCATCGTTCCCGTGATTTAGCAACAACCCCTTCCCGTTTCATGGCTCTGGGGAGCTTCTTCAGACAATGCCATCTATGGTTGGGAGCGCAACACTAGGCTCAAGTGGATGCTTCATTCACGAAACGGCCGCTACTTCAGCTGAAATACAAAGGGGTGACCCTTAGATTCACGAGCACAGCACAGCGCCTACTGAAAGCAGTTAATAGGGGAAACAAAAAACGGATGCACGAAATATGAAGAAATGGTGATTCCTTTACACGGAAATAAAATAGTCTACATACCGACGTATAGATAAGGGTTTTTCGGGTTTCCGGTAGAAGATGTAGGCGTAAAAAACACAACTGATAAACTTAGATAGAAACTTACATGTCCTCCTTGTCAACGTTCTAGTCAGGACGTATCATTGCGTTGGAAATTCCAGACGAGTTGGAACGACTCTATCAAAAACGGGACCTGGCTCGATCACCCCTTTTTTCTTCAACCATCATGTGTTTGTTTCTGCACTGGGTTTTTAGGAAAAATTTGGGAAAATCGAAAACTCCGTCTTTGGTGTGAGAACAGCATGTTCCATTGCAAGAGGAAACCTTTGCAAAGCAAAACATGAACGCTAAGTATGATTCGAGAATGCATCTCCTCGTGGAAAAGAAGTAGGAAATGGTTCATTCAGCCCCGGTCGGCTTCATTTCTGGATGTATGTCTCAAGTGTCCACGCAAAGGTGTTGGACAACTAATACTTTTACGTAATCCATAATCCTTGTCCACAACACATTTATAGGCTTCAGAAAGACCCACAAACTACCCGAGAACCTCTTTGTTACTCATCTACTCACTTAAATTGACTAATTACTTTCTTATTTTGACTAATTAATGCTTCCAGCCAGCTTGTTTTATTATATTGTAATGTTTTTCACCATCCGGATTAACAAAAGCGTCCCACAGCTTAACGATGCTGGCTGGCACCTTTGCGCTGTTCGTTGCTGACTGCTTTTCCGTTTAAGATCTCCACCGCTCAGCGGTCTGATACGATCCTGCTCACTGAGCCTCACTGGGAAAGCCACAACGCTGGATGAAGTGGTTCCAATGAAGAGTTTGCACGCACTGCCTTAGATCATTGTTGAGGTGGTCCCATTTCAGTTATGAGTAGGAGGGCTTTCTGACATTTTTTTTTTCATTGGGCGTGCATGTACTTTGTGTAGAAATAACAAGGGGTTTTTCTCTCGATAGAAGGTCACGGGAGGTTGGGTTATCAGGGTCGCCAAGTAGCAAGTATCTAAGCCAGTTCGCGGAACAGTTGAAAAATAGAAGAGATGAAGTGAGAAGCAGTTCTTAATTCTCTGGCTGCCATTCACTCAGAAAGAAGTATAAGCGAATCACCGCTGCTGTGTATTTCTAGACTTTCCAGTGCATAAACTTCTCGTGCAGGGACGGTGTACACAAAAAGAAAGCGGCCCGAACTACTGGAAGCGATGCAGTCTTTGCCAATTTTCATAGTTCATTTTTTGCGGGAAGACCTGTCTAGATTCATATGATTGGAATTCTGTCACTGATTGTAGCGCAGGGAAGTCCGCAGAACAATTCAAGCTCCACGCTCTCGAATTGAGCTTTTTCAGGGTTTCGAGGGTATTCCTTGGGAAATGTGAAACTTTGCTCCCCCGCCAAGCTCGGAAAATGTCAACGGTCAACGATATAGATGTATCACGCTCAGGATCTTCGCATATCTGGCTCCAATTAAACAGTTTTAGCTTCGGTCACAAAACAAAAAGCCGATGTTCAAGGGAATGGAGGCTCAAAACAGAAGCGGCGAACTCGAAAACTATTGCCTCTCCTGAATTAAATTTCTACAAATTCAATATCATGAGCTGCCACACTACATACGTTCGTGGCTATTTGTTGAATATTTTCCGGTGTTCATAATCATTTCGAACGCAATTGCCTGACGCCAAGGATAAGAGCGGGGATCAGCAGCAGGTGCCCGCAAGATGGCCTTCAGACCACTTCATTGCGCAACGCCCAGCTCTTACCTGCTGATTGGATTCAGGGCGCAAATTACAGATTTTATTGTGTTCGTCATGAGCTCAACATTGCTAAAATTTCCCCTGTCATATTACATACAGTTTACACGGTACTTGTATATTATTTACACTGTGACACTGTTTTAGTACCATGAATGTAAAAATAGTCTACGGCTTCTTAAACGAGCCAATTTTGAACCAATTCAATGCTCAGGTATAAGGGTTTGTGTAGCTCCTTCTGAGATCAAGTAAACTCATAAAAGCATTCTTACTGCATGGAATTTCGAGCGTGACACTCAGTCCCAAAGGGCAAAGATATATAGTCGAAGAATTGCTGAGTCGCTGTCAGAACGCTTAGCCAAGTCGCATTTGGACCCTTACAGAGGTTAGGCTTACGAGTAGTTGCAAAAAGTAACAGTAAATCGCTTAATTGACAGGAAGAAAGCTTCCGTTGGAAAATTTGGCTGAATTACAACTGTCCAATTTATTACAGTTCACATGTTGCATTGTGGGCGTTCTTGCCTCGCAACTAACCTCAGATCAGTCTTTCGGCAGCTACCGTATTACCGCAACGTCCGGAAGCGCGTCATCTGGTTGCTGACCCTCGCCGACCCCTGTTGCGTAATGCACGCCAACAAAAGACATCAACACCTGTTCTCAAGAAACACGACATTAGGTGGTTTCAGTTGATTGCCATACTGTAGCCACTTGAAACCATACCAAGCAAGTTATGGGATTTGATTCGTCCGCACAGGCTTTCCAGCTTGTTTATTTGAAGGGTTTTGGCGTATTTTTTTTTAATAACACTTTGTTCGTAGGACGTTGTCGCGAGTTGGCGCTGCACACGCGAGATACGGAGTTGTCCTGCTTTCGCCGTTCCGAATTCAAAAAGTTGAAGAAAGGGGAAAAATTGATAATTTTCAGGCATGAACTCCTACCTCCACTTGAATCCACTTGAGTTTCGCTACTCCAAACGACAAACTGCTGGACATCGAGGATCTGCCGTGCTCGCCCTGACGATGCCACAGATTGCGATTCTCTTTTCCGTCTTCCAAGAACACTGCACATCTTCACTGCAGCCGACGGAAAACCGACCAACCGGTACTGAATATTAGTGGGGGCTACAGTGGAAGATGTCTTGGCTTGGACATTATGAAAACTTGAAGTTCTACGGGATCTGATGTCTGGCAGTCCTGGAACAGTTGCAGGTAGAAGAGTTCTGATAATCAGCTTAATTTGCACTTCCTCAGGTTTACCCCCTCTCACTCACTGTCACCTGCCCTGACCTGGCGTAATAGAGGCTTTCAAATGTTTTGAACTCGTATTCCCCACACCTATTTAGTCTGCAAGACGTACACAAGCAGTCGAAGGATGAACAAAATCGCAGGACAGTCCGATTGCAGATCGGGGCGCCTGAAATGTCATGTTTTCGACCGTACAGGCATTTCGAATAAGCCTTCGCCTTATGCTATACGACTTTCTGCTGCGGATCCCAACCCAAAATTCAAGGCAGTGACCCACATCATGATCATTTCCACACCTCGTTCGTTTCAGATATCCAGTTATGAAAAGGGGTAGCGCCTGCCGATGACCAGCTAGTACGAGCAGTACAGTCAAGTCTGCAGCTTTCTCTGGAATTCTCTCTTATCCCACCCGTATCCCAAGGATGACGAGGGCGGGGCCGCGTACTTCATTAAACGTGGCGTAGGATGCGTTTTTCATAGAAAATTTCCATTTGAGACATTTGACGTCCTGTCTTGTGCTGGAAAATGACATGACTACAACTGTCAAAAAACGAAAACAGCTCACACGCCTGCTGTTTTTTCAGATGAAGTAAACAGCCACGTCCTTTTCCACCCTGAAGATACCTAGTGTATTGGTGAGGTTGATTAGGTATACTGTATATCCCAGAAGCGTTCCATCTATCATCATGAGCAAACCATCGATGGGCGGCAACAGCCAGGTGGTCATAGTGACCCGTTATGCAACTATGATTGGTGGAAATTACACATTAGTCGTTTATCGAGAAGGCATTGATTCAGCTGTATCTAAGTTCAAATAAGGTTTGATTTCAAATCGCTATCGCTACGTAGCCCGCCAGAGTCTTTTTTAGCAGGGTTCTAAATGCAAAGGTAATGGAAAATGTAGGACTACCACAGGAATGATAGATTGACCGTATCTCTATAAATCTCGGTATTAATACGAGCACTCTCAAGTTGTGAGCCTTTTCCAAGACCTCTAAGACCGCTTCATGCTGGTTTCAGAAGTCTCGTAGAACCAGTCCACCCAATTTTGCGATTTTCGGTTTAATTTTCAAGATTTCCTCAATTAGTTCTCCATCACCGAACTGCACTTGATTAGTTGTCCGTTGACTCTTTATGGCTCTCCAACAGGCCGCTTAGATATCATTTGCAGATATTCTAGTAATAATGGGTCACGACTAACCCGGCTGGCAATTACTGGTCGAGATGGCTTTGAGCCTGTTCGTTTGCCTACGGTAATATCGCAGTATCATGTTCATCAATGAAAGTATTGCGCGGTGCTCATCGGATGGGACACATATGGCTAGCTGTCAGATGCTATCGGTGACGTTTCCACATAGCCTGGACACCCCGGGGACACCGCCCTTTGATGACATAATCTATTCAGAAGCACATCAAAGCCGCCACCACGACATCAGTTTCCGTTCACCGGCACGCCGGCAACCATGATGCGCGTCATACCGATTAATTGATCACTAT